CTCTTTCTACTGAAATACAGAGAAGGAGACAAGAGTGGGACGTCGTCATCCCTTTGGTCTACCTCTTCTTATCTAATGCACTGGAAATGTCCCAGTCAAGGATGTCTTTGTGTTTCAGGTAAAATCACAACTTCAGGGTGTCTGGCTGGGAATAGATCTGCAAAACACCAGCTGGGTTCCATTCCCATTCAGGGGTAATTGGGCAAAGGAAAGCAAACAGAAATGACAAGAGATTCAACATGGGCCCAGTTTCACAATATCTCAAAGCAGTCAATAAGATCACTGCGTTCCTTTATGTGCATCGATGTTTCATTCCACCATGTCAGCTCCCATAGTGGGCTTTATCGGTGAGATCCAGAGTCAATTTTATAAAATCTCAGAAGAAACTATTCATTTCACTAACAGAAGGAAGTATTCTCTTCACACAAGCACCGCCTGGTTTTAAAAGACAGAAAACCGCTGTTGGTGAGACTGCCGGAGCACACTGGGGGAGGAACCGGGCTTCCGTTAGATGCTCAGTGACCCACCCAACGACCCACCCCCCGCAACTGCCCACCCACCTGTGTGCCTCAATGACTCTAAAAAAAAACAGGAGCTACCTGTCAAGGATCGGACAGAACTTGGAGAACTTGGAGAAGATGACCTATGAGGAAAGGCCGAGGGACTTCTTGGGAATGTTCAGTCTGGAAAAGAGGAGGCGGGGGGGGGGGAACAGGATGGCTCTCTTTTAAGTATCTGAAGGGCCGTGTCTCTTAGAGGAGGGCAGGGAGCTGTTCCTGTTGGCCGCAGAGGAAAAGAGGACTCACGATAATGGGTTGAAATTAAGGGCAGGGAGGTACCAGCTGGACAAAGACTGGTCAGGGATGCTCTTGGCTGATCCTGCATTGAGCAGAGGGGGTTGGACTAGATGCCCTCTATCGTGGCCCCTTCCCACTCGGGTGATTCTAGGATTCTATGACACGCCACCCACCACCATCACCAATGGGAGAGGAGGGACAAGTGTGGTTGTGTGTCCAGAAAGAGCACTCAGCGGTTTCAGGCAACAGGGCTGGAAAGTGAAGCACCTTCAGAGGTGGAGAGAAATAAAACAGGACTCCAGTGGCAAAACTAGTAAAACGTATTCCAGCAGACACTTTTGTGAGCTGGAACTCACTTTGTCAGATGCACTGGGGAAGGGCCCTCTCCCTCTCTCTCCCTCTCCCTCTCGGGAAGCAGACGGGGCTCCCTGTATCGGTGGCTCCTAACTGGACTTTACTTGTCAATTTGTACATCAAGCAAACATCACAAAGTGCCGTTCCGTGTGGCTTAACGTGGCGCCTTCCATGAAGGTCAGTCCAGGTGGGGGTCAGCCGTGTTGGTCTGGAGCAGCAGAGCAGAACCGGAGTCCGGCGGCACCTTTAAGGCCCACAAAGTTTAATTCTGGGCCTGAGCTCTCGTGTGTGGACTCAGCCTTTGCCCTGCTGCCCCAGAGACTGACACAGCGACCCACCTGAACCTGTCGCAGGGTGCCGCTAGGTCTCCAGGGCCACATTAGCCAAAAGGGAACCCAAAAGTTGGCCGTGCTGCTCTCTGCTCAGTGCGCCTTGTTAATCATCACAGGTAAATGACCCCCGTTTCTTCGCTTCTGGGGCTACGCAGTGAGGCGCAGTGAAGTCCGTCCTTCACCCTGACAACAGTAATAAACGGAGCCGGTCGCAGGGAGAAATCTCTTGCAAGGCCAGGCTCCAAATTAAAGGCTAGAGGCTACAGGAGCAGGGAAAAGGTTGAGAAAAAAAATATTATTATTGCCAAAAGGATGACATTTCCCCCTCCAGGTTCAGGATGGAACCTCCTGAAATTACTTTCCTCCTTCTCCTTGATGGATGGTCGTTTTGGATTATAAATGTTATACTTCCCTGAAGGGAAAGAAACAAACAGCTATAATGTCTCTAAATAAATAATCAGCACTGGATGTACTGCCAATTTTTTTTTCGTTTAGTGTTTTTTACTAAAGGCTAGGAAAATGGTCATTATAATTAAGAATAAATTCATACCATGTGCATGTTTTGCTTTGTAGTTTAATATTGTTTCTTTGGGGATGCCATTGTTGTTAGTTAAAAGCTAACCAGCAGACCAGCAATTAGTAGGGCAAACTGTTTTTTAAAAAATAAAAGGAAATGTGCTCCCAGACTGAATGGCTTCCTTATTTCCCCTAATTATGTGGCAGTTTTGATTCTTAAGATTTACTGTGAATAAAACTAACTGTAGATTAGAGAATGTAGACAAATGCCCCTGGCGTTGTTAGTTCTTACAAAATATTCACGTCGAGGGGCACGTCCATTGTTGCCCTTCCAGTAGGTTACAACCTTGGACACGTTTTTGCACCAAACCTGGGGAAGAGCCTCTGCTTGGCATGCAGAAGGTCCCCAGTTCGATCCCCGGCATCTCCAGCTCAAGGGACCAGGCAGGAGGTGAGGGGAAAGACCTCCCCTCGGCCAGAGACAGACCCTGGAGATCCTCTGCTGGTCAGAGTGGACAATACTGACCTTGAAGGACCCTGAGGGTCTGACTCAGGGCACAGTTTCAATCCACTTCAGTGACTGTTTGCAAGTGGATTTTGCCATTTCATACAGTGAAATCCAATCGCTAAGTGCATTGAAAGTGCGTTTTTTGGTGTGTGGCACATACCACTTTTACGGCCGGTGACAAATGCATAACAAAGCATTAGAAAAGAGGAAGAGTCCAGTAGGACCTTGAAGGCTCAACAAGATTTGTGGCTGGGTAGTTGAGCTTTCGTGAGTCACTTCTCACATCGTCAAATAATTTTGTTGGTCTTTCAGGTGCGGCTGGACTCGTACTCTTTTCTGCTGCTACCGACAGACTAAGACGGCTACCCAACTAGATCTATAACAAAGCGTTTTCCCTCTACATTAACATCAGGAATGAAACCTAAGCATTACTGAATAATTTTTTTCTCAGCTTGTTAAGTTCTAACTTTATAATTCAGTAATCACATATAAGGGCATTAGGACAATCCCACAAGAGATGTAAAAGAAGTGTCCATTAAAACAGTCTTCCAACAGCCAATTTTTTTGCAGAGACTTCGGCCCTCTACAGACCATCTTAAATGGGTCTCTCTGTAGAAGGAGTGGGCTCTACTGCTGTCTTCCAGGCGCACTTGAATGCACAGATCCTACTGCAGTGTTTTCTCACAAACTATGACACCCCCCCCCCCTGGCTCCATCTGGTTCTCTTGTCTATGCTAGATGTCTTAATTTCAGTTGTTTATCTATTCATTAAGTGAAAATATTTCACCATACAAGCATAGTTGCTGTCGCTTAAGAATAAAACGGACTGACCCTTACCCGGATAGACCAGGCAAGCCCCATCTCGTCAGATTTTGGAAGCTAAGCAGGGCCGACCCTGGCAAATATTTGGAT